ATCTCCCCTATTCAATTTTAAGTTCCTGAGAACAGAAACTGCTTTTTTCAAATATGTTTGTACTTGAGCAGTGCCATGAAAAGAAATGATAGTCAATTAAGAGTCTTCCTAGTGCTTAAAATGATAGCTATGAATTTACATGGTTTCATTTTGTAGAGTTTATTTTATTTTTGTTGATGTTGAGCATATCCATAGCAAAACACGAGGGCTCAACAGTTTCGACGTGTTTAACTCGAAGACAGTGATTGCATTCTTCAAGTTGTATAGCCGTTCTCACCCCCCTTTTCCAAATTGATCTTTCTTGATGAACAAAAACTCATTACCCCCTAAGTTTACCATCTACTCTTTTGAGATGCTCTAGTCAATATGATCTGATGTAATTATTCGTGTTTTTAATGAATTGAAAACAACTTTAATCATGTGCTCTAACAGATGAAGTAGTGAACTTAAAAAGAATGTTCATATCTTATGTGATTGATGTCACTGAACAATTTGTATAGAAATTGTTGAGCTGGAACCTAAACTGCTATGCAATCCATCACTAAAAACACAAGAAAATATCATTTAAAAAATACGAGGCATACACTTGATAGTCATGGTGGGATGATGGAAATTAAGCAAAGAAATAGGATGATGATTTTTGTTTCTATGGAGCAGGAGTTCCAAACCTTAGGTCTTGGAACAGCACTAGTCCTGTAGATGGGCTGCAGGGCTTCGATGAACCCTCGGGAATAATTTGGAAAACGTTATTTATAAGAGCACTTAAAAAGATTTATTTTGTTAAGATACAATTATATAACAAAATATGCTATCTCAACTACTTTTAACTGTATTACTTCAGTGACATTAATTATAATCACAATGTTGTGCAACCATCACCTATATGCACATTTTTAATGGTTGATTTGAAATAACATCTTTACCTGAAATACAGTTCCCATGCCATAGAGTTCATTTATTCGAAGTATACAACCCAGTGGTTTTTGGCATATTCACAGCTATGCAACCATCAGATTTTCAGTAAGAAACCCCATAGCCATTAGCAGTCATTCAACATTTTCCTCCCACCTTCAGAAAGTCCTCACTCAAACCAATCTCTCTGACATCCAGTCAATGCTGACGCACAGCGAACCTATCGGCCAGGGTCTGATAGAACTGCCCCTGTGAGTTTTCAAGACTGTAAGGTCTTTGTTATTTTGACGTGGCATTATCTATGTGTACTATGCAACTGTCTGATAAAAGAGGCCATTGGAACACATTTATTGTCTCTGGTCCTTATTATCTATCTGGTGAACAGATTGCATTATGAATTGACTTTGGCATGCAGAAATATTATTGAGTCAGGGAGACAACCTGTTGGTATTTAGTTGTTTTTCCAACAGGCAAGAGTGAGAACATTATCTGGACTGATTTAAAATACCTTTTTATATTTTAAGACATGCAAGATTTGAAACAATATGTTGGTTGTATTATTGAGTTTCAAGGAAATAGTTTTTTTCTCTTTTTGAGAATGTCATAATTTTAAATCAAACTAAATGATCAGATAATTTACTCAGCCACAAGGTCACTGGGGCACTTGGGAAAAGAAATTAGCCCTTTATTTCTTTTTCTTTTTGTTGCAGTAGATTCAAATTCCACATCCTTCTCTTTCTGCCTCTGTTATATACTAAACCTAGCAAAATCTGAGTGCAATGTATTTTTCCTTTAAATATAGTTTACCACTTCATATTCAAGACAATGCAGTATATCTAAAAGACACCCCCCCCCATCATATTGATTAAGGGAGAAGGGTCAGATAGGTGTTTATTGTAATTGTCATTAAGGTATACAG